GTTGCCAAACAAGGCTTCTCACCCCAGCTCTTTTATGTTGCTTTGCATGCCACCTTTTCAATTGATGCATTTTAAGAGGGATAGCTCAGTTAAGTTCAGTTCAGCAAACATGAAGTGAGGTGTCCTATGTACTGGGCACTGTGCTAGTGATTCATTCATTTAGCAAGTGTTTATTGAATGCCAGGTTTGGGTCAGGCATTGCTATTCTAAGCATTGGGGATACAGCAACGAACAAAACAAAAACCTGACTCTCATGCATTCTACTCGTGGAGAAGAGAAAATAAGCAAATTACTAAGTAAAGTACAAGTATGTATAGTGGGGATATTGCTATGGAGGAAAATATAGAAGGGTAATATGGATAGAGAACAACAGAAGCAAGGGAAACGATACGAGTAAAGGTAGTTATATAAATGTATACGTGCTGCATTAGTCAGCTTGGGCTGTCGTAACAAAATACCATAGATTAGGGGGCTTAAGGAATGGAAATTTATTTTCCTACAGTTCTGGACGCTGTAAGTCTGATGTCAGAGTACCAGCACGGTTGGGTTCTGTTGAGAGCTTTCTTCCTGGCTTGCAGATGGATCCCTTCTTGCTGTGACCTCCCATGCCAGACAAAAAGAAAGCAAGCTTTCTGGTATCTCTTCTTATATGGGCACTAATTCATCAGACCAAGGCCTCACCCTCATGACCTCATCTAACCCTAATTACCTCCAAAAAAGCCCATCTCCAAATACCATCACATTGGTGGTTAAGGCTTCAACATAAGAATTTGAGGGACACAAACATTCAGTCCACAACGTGTACACACACACACACACACACACACACACACACATCAAGCATGGCTCTTAGATAAAGTAGTATTTGATTGGAGGGCTAAAAGAAGTGAAGTAATGAGCCACATGGCTATCTAGGGGAAGAACATTCCAAAGAGAAGAGAAATGTGTTCACAGGCCTTTAAGCGGGAGGAGTGTACTTGGTGCATTCAAAGAATGGTGTGGAGGCCAGTGTGGCTGGGTGGAGTGGAGGGGGCAGGGGAGGGAAGAACAGCTGATGAGACTAAACAACAAATTAGGGACTAGATCATGTAAGACCTTGCATGTTACTCTGAGTGAGAAAGAAAGCTGTAGGATGCTTTTAAGCAGAGGAGTGATATATTACATAGGGTAGTCTCTATACAAAGTGATATTATGATTTAGGAGCATATGGTATTATGATATTACGGTATTTTTGAAGCATTTTAAGATAGAGAAATATAGCAGTTGTGTGTTAATAGAAATGTTTATGGAGTCACAGCTTAGAGATATTCAGTGTCTTTGCTTATAGATAGTCAATGCTGATGTTTAGTCACTGTTCTGTTTGTTAAAAAAATGCATTCTGTAATACCCTCCCTAGACAATCTCTCTCTATTATTGTGAGACCTCATTATTTAAAGGTAATTTGTCAGAAGTTCAACATTTAATTAAAAATAAGTGAATGATTAACATTTTGAAATTAAGAATATACATTGATTCAAATGTGAAGATGTAAACTATTTAATTTCATAATTGATTTCTTATATATTATTGTAAAGAAAAGCAGAAAATTAGAAACTGTTCACCTTGACTGTGCTCTGGAACAAAAGCGTGCCCTGCCGTGTTCTGCTCATTTTTAGTATTCATCAACGTGTTGCCTTTGCAAAGTCCACTTCTCGACATGTTTGGAAAGGGAGAAGTTTAAGAGGCAGACTAGCAAAACAAAGTTCTGTGATCAGATAGAATTCTCCCATCTGAGGCCAAGGAGTTAGATGGAACACTGTGATGGCGCTACCATTTTACCGGATAACAGTAGCGTCTAATAAAATATAAAACCCCCTGCAGCTACTTCTCTCTCCTTTCTCTCCAGGTCCCACATGCATCTCCAGTGATGCAATTTTTCTTTGTCATACAAACCAAGGAGAATCTGAAGGAAATTCTGTGTTGATTTAAAAGGAAAGAAAAAGAAAAGTCCTCAACTATGTAATATGAAATAAAAGATATATCAGTGAGCACATTTTATTTTGTGATGTGCATATTACATTTCCTCAGTTTACAGCAAGTTACAACAATGCCTGATATCTTTTTTTTTTTCCTTGAATACCATCTGGATGGTATTATTCTAAGAACAGGATTATAAAATTCGGGATCATTCCTCCACGAAAACAGCACTGACTAGTTAACCAAATTATTCCAATAGCCAAGCAGTTACAAATCATATAGATATTCAATTCATAGTCTATTATTTTTTAAGAAAGAAAAATGGTGGCAGGGTTTTAACAATGTGATGAAATAGGCTAAGGAGCATCTCAAGTAATAGAATCTGTGTCCTCTGTCAGAAGGTGGCATTTGTTCTATCATCACTCAAGACAGTGGTCTCCAAATGTACTCAAAACCCAGCTGCTCTGTTAGTGAAGCCTTCGCTTCTCTGTGGAGAAATGGGTTAAAGATAATGTGGTTTGTTTTGTTTTTCCACATACTGAATATAATCAACTTAAAGAATTATCCTTTATTTTCATATTATAGCTTTCCTACGTTTTTGGTGTTAAAATGTTTTTTCCTTTAGAAAATAGTTAATAATCATTTTTTTTCCTGGAAATTTCTCTCAGCTGACTTTCCCCCAGTTCTCAAAGTTGCTAAGATTTTCAATGAAGACAGGCTCATTAGCAAGGTGGCATTTGGGCTTCCGTTTTTATTTTCAATCTTGTTCACTCTGCTTCCCAACTGACCCTCTTTCAGATCAGTACCCACAGAAGCTAAGAAAAGATAGCATTCTTCTCTCTTGTCCTTCTAGATTTCTCTTTGGAAGATTATATTTCTCCTGGTAAAATATTACTTTTCTCTCCTTGTGTTATCCCTCTGCCGGAGGTTTAAACATTCCTACCCTGTTGAATTCAGAAGAGGCTATGTGATTTACTTGCATCAGTGAATGTAAGTAAAAGTCATATTTGTCATCAAGAGCCATTTCTTGGTTCACCATCTATCTCTCTCATTAAAGTCTAGTTTATCATTTTCTTTTCTCTCCCATTTAAAAATTGTTTGCCTGAGTTAAAGTGGCAAAGACATTATCCTATGTTTTCTTCTAGAAATTTTACCTGTATGTTTAGGTCTATGATATATCTCAACATTTTAAATTTAATTTTAATTTAATGTTGTGTATGGTGTGAAGTAAATGTCAAGGTTCATTTTTTTATATGGATATTTACTTGTTCTAGCACCATTGACTGGATATTGTTCAGGCTTTGAGTTTTTCTTGCCTCAACAGACAAAACTATTGTAAAAATCCTCACATATTTTGGAGCAATAGCATTTTTCTTTTTAAATTTTTTGTTTATTGCAGTAACATTGGTTTATAACATTGTATAAATTTCAGGTGTACATCATTATATTTCTATTTCTGCATAGATTACATCATGTTCACCACCCAAATACCAATTACAACCCATCACCACACACATGTGCGGAACCATCCCCCTTGCCCTCCTCCCTCCCCCCTCCCCCCCAGGAACCACCAATCCGATCTCCTTCTCTATGTGTGGAGCAACAGCATTTTTCAATGGTTATACAAATTAATAATACACAACTCAGCATTATTGGATCTCTCTTCAATATGGTGAGAGTCTGCAGAAGATAAAGAATTTCAGAAATTGTGTCAAAGTAAATAGATTACCTAATTAAGTATGGGAGGGGGGAGGAAGAAAAAGTTTAGGAAGAGGAATTGGATAAGGGAACTAGGTGTTCATCTACAATAATGAGAAGTTGGTAGACGACATCTAAAACAAATAGATAAAAAATAGTGGTATAAATGTATGGTTTAGAAATATGGAGTTAAATGGCAAAAAATATAACTAAAACTTGAAGGACCCTCCTGTTGCTTAGGGAAATGGGAGGCGGAGTTTCTTACTCTTTTGCAATGAAAATCTTTAATACATTGACATTTCTATAGGTATTTGCATATATTAGTTAAATAATTTTTAAGTATTTTCAAAAACAAGAAAAAAAAATCTTCGAGGATGCACCCCAGTCTGTTAGATTTGATGTCCTGTAGGGAGACAATACTTTGACTCAACTCTTTTATATATATGTTGCTATGGATTGAATTGAGTCTCCCCAAAATTCATATGTTGAAGTACTAACCTCTATTGTGACTGTATTTGGAGATAAGCCCTGTGAGGAAGTTTTAAGGCTAAATGAGATTGTAAGGATGGGACCCTAATCCAATACAGCTGGTGCCCTTATAAGGAGAGGAGGGGACACCAGAGCTCTCTCTCCATCCTGCCAGGGCACAGTAAGAAGATGGCTGTCTGCAAGCCAGGAAGAGAGCTCTCACCAGAAATCAACCCTGCTGGACCTTGATTTGAGACTTCCATCCTGCAGAACTGTGAGAAAATAAATTTATGTTGTTTAAGCCTTTGGTATTTTGTTATAACAGCCTGAGCTCACTGGTACACATGTTGTAATTTTGTATTTTCCTCATAATGAGCATATATCATTTTATGATGAAAATATTTAACTGTAGAGAAAAGAGTTATGTTATAAAAGCAGCATCTCCATATTTCTGAAAATTTGGACAATTGTAAAAGCAAGAAGAAATCTTATATTTCTTTTTAGTCCTTTGTCTTGCAAATTTATATGTGTGCACATTTTACACGGCTGTAATTATTCTGTTTGATCTAAATTTTGTGTTTCATATAATAAGATAAATATTAATACTATTACTAATGTTTATAACTATAATTTAAATGACTACAAAATATTTAGTTGAGTTGATATAATTTATCATAACTTTAACCAATTTGTTTTTGGCTGAACATTTTTGTTGTTTATACTTTTTTTGGCTATTATGAAAAACAGTGTACTAGATATAGCCAGGCATATGGCTTTTTAAAGTTGGACTTATTTCCTTAGGATAGATTCCCAGAACTGAAATTACTGAGTCAAAAAGTACAAGCATTTAAAAAATTCTTGATATGTTTTGCCAAATTGCATATTTGACAGTATTGATCAATTCACGATTCTAATAGCAATTTCTGGGAAAATTGGTTGTACTTAACTTTGGGCAGTATTATTCATTATTTATTTAACTTTATCCCTATTTTCATAGCCAAAATCAGATTTTATTTTTAAAATGGGCATTTCTTTTAATGCTGCTCTCATACAGATAAGGGTGGAGTTTCTTAGCAATTAGATCCTTTGTTCCATGGCAGAGATATTCCATGAATGCGTATTCTGGAGCCATCCAAATGTAAGGTTTGTATTGTACGTGGAGGGGTATCTATCTGGTCAATAAATGAATGTTGACAAATTAGTTATGCATCTAAACTAATCCTATAAGACATTGTGAAGGACATTAGAAATGACAGTGGAAATAGTACTCTCCCTCTTGGCAGTCCTTCCCCTGAATTATCTAGCAGCATTTACACTAGTGAGAGTCACTCCTTAATATCACACCCCATCCTCCCTTCCCTGGTGTAGTGGATGCTGGATTTGAAATAAGTTGAAGTTGGATCATGAACACTGGCGCTCTTTTAGATATTTTAAACAGGAAAAAACAGTACCAAGACATGGGTGTCTGCAGAACTATCCGAAAGGTTGGGGAAGTGAAGGTCAAAACCACTCCTAAGTCTGAGGAAATCAGGAATTACGGTACTGGAATCCTAGGACGCTGCCTCCAGCTATCTCTGCTGCCTGCTGATGCGGTAATTCACAGAACCCCTGGAAGCGGCTGAACTCCCTGTGACTGCAGTCTGTCCACAAGTCTGCCAGCCGCTGCCAGAGGAGAATAACAGCTTCTGCTTCTCTTCTGCCTTCCACCTTTCAAAGAATTCTCTCTCCTTGGAAGAATTTGTACCCGTATCCTAGGAGCAAGTGCTTCTGGGAAATGTTTTCGCCTTTGAAATGCAGGGCAGAGTTGCAGAGACAGGGGTGGTCCTTAAGTCAAGTTTCCTACCTCCTGTACTTTCCCATTTCCTTCTTTATAACAGAGCCCTGTGTTAACACATCCACTTCATCCCTGGCTTCAGAAAGAGGTAGAATTTGGTTGGCATGGCATATCCCAGTGATGGTGCATGGTCTAGGGGTGGGCACATAATTTATAGCTCTAGATTTTATGTGTATGGGACATGTTTCTATGTCTCTGCCTTCTATTTAACATACGCAAGGAAAAGCATAACTTAAATTTTTCACAGGCAGCCATTTTGAAGCCATAGAGTCCAGGACGAAGTCGATAAGGGAAAAATAGAGAGTAGACACAAAAATCCTTTTTTTAACGACATAATTTTACAACTCCTCATGTTATGCCTCAAGTCTGCCCTACTTCTGGGTGTCTTGTGTGTAATAATGTTTTATTATTGTTTAGGCGAGTTTCTGTCCTGGTTTCTGTTACTTATTGTTGAGAGCATCAGACCTAATAAACCTGACAAAATATCTGTGCTTTAGAATATGATAAACTATGCTCCAGGTGACAAAGGGGGCAGGTTGACAGGTATTATTAGGAATTTCTCCAAATGATTATTTCTGGTGGAAACACCAGATACTACAGCAAACCAAGCCTTGACGGGGGTGTTGAGCCCCTTGGTGCCCCTCAGACTACATTTCACAGGCAGCTACCAGCTCTGAGTGGACACAAAGTCACATCTCTCCATACCTGTGCTTTGAAGGAGCCTCCGCTATGAAATCTCTTATGTTCCTGCTGAGTGCACTGAGCTGCAAGACATAGATGAGACCTCAAGGGCAAGATCTGACAGTAAATGTCACCAGCAGTGGAATGGGACTTGGTCATTTTTGGTGTGCCTTTGCAGATATCATATGCTACCAGAGTGTTGAGACATAAACACTTCATAAAATGAAGCATATTTTTTTGGTACATAGAAGAAGTTCTAGGAGTTGGAAATGAGGTGACTTAGTCCTAATGTGTCCAGTGCATCCTGGTTTGCATGGAACTTTCTTGACTTTAGCACTGAAAATCCCACTTCCTGGGAAATCTCTCTATCCCTGGCAAACTGGGATGGTTGGTCATTCCACCTGGGCCATAGTCCCATCTGTCACTTGCCAGTCATGAATCCTTGCAGACACATCACCTCTCTGGGCCTCCACTCCTCATCTGTTAACTGAGCAAGTTTGAAAAGCTGATCCCCAGATCCACTTCCAATTCTGAGATCCTGTACTATCTTCAAGGCTTGCTTCATCTATTAGACTTGACAGAGGTAGACTCATCACAATCACTTAATTCTAACCATCATATTTTACAGACGAGGATCCTGAGGTTTGGGAAGTTAAATAACTTTCTCAAAGTCGTTCAGCCTAGGTGGTGACTGAGCCTTGGTTTTCCCACTCTCAAGCTAGTATTGTCTTGACTCCAAGCTATTCTACCCTCTCATTATATAAAAGTTCAAAGAGTTGAATGATTATTCCTATGACAGGTACTCACAGACCTGAAAGGTTATTCAGCTGAGCTAAACACCCTACGTTTATCTTTAACACCTCAGGTACACCTCCTCTCCAGGTTGTTTTTTGTGCAGTCACTGATCATATCTACCATCTATATGACATTATCTTGACTCTATATGTAGGCACAAACCAAGTAAAGTCAATCCTGTGTCTGTGCAAAGAACTATTTCCTTCTCTCTCCAGGCTTCTCGTAGCTATCATTTTGTGAAGACAGCAGCAAAAACATCCTGCGTGATATTATGTTTTTTACCTTCTGTGAATCCCTAAAGGCAACACTTTCTTCTGAAAGGTTTGATGCACTGTTGCTTCTTACACTTCGTGATTTCCAATTTTCTTTGGTAAACATCACAAATATAATGCATTGTATTAGTGCATTTTGCATTAAAAAAGCTTTATGAGTCATGATTCCCTTCAGGAAGGGAAAAAGAAATCTCTCAGTCTTAGCTTTTTCCCATTTTAAGTTCAGAGGAAAAAAATATTTTTTTTATTTGCTCTTAGATATTCTTACTATGAATCTGGCACTTAATTAGACCAGATTTGTAACCTATAGCACATCTCCTATGGTTTCTGTGCTTTTTCTGCTTCAGCATATGTCCCACAGCTAGCTATTTCAATGGGCAGCGGCATTCTGGTGGTACAAAGTTTTATTCTGTCTGTTATGTGACTATCCCAGCCATACTCTATCACTTCCCAAAAGAGGCCTTTTATATTTAATCTGAACTCCAACAGGGATTTTGGAGGGCTAACATGAGCCACGTGAAACTTTAATTTCCAAGTATTCTATATCATCTAATAAAATCTCTGAGATTTTAGACTTTTTTCCTCTTATTTGTCACATAGAGTTTTGGTAATGGCCGGTGAATATTATTCTTCGCAGTATCAAGGGAACACATTTGGCAATGGATAACAGAGTACTAGATCCATGCGGCTTAAATAACAGGCATTTCTTAATCTCATTCAGCAGGTTGTTGGGAGGTTGGCTATTCCAGGGTTGGGGCGCTGGCATTCATGACCCAGGCTCCTCGTGTCATTCTGTTCTGCTGCCTTCCATGGTTTATCAAGTTCATGGCTGCAGGATGGTGAGTATTACATTGTCTTGGACAGCGTCCCAACTAGAAAGTAAGGTGGCCTTGACAAGAGGGGCTTTTTCTTCTTGCTTTCTTTTGTATCAGGAGGATAATATTTCCCAGAAACCTCAAGCAGACTTCCTCTTACATCTTTGCCAGAACTTGGTCCCTTCTCCAAACCTAGACCAAAAAGAAATCAACTTACCATGACTGGGCTTGGGCTACTTGCAATTCAAGTCCTGGCAGGGTGACTATTTCCACTGAGACAAAATTGGGGGTCTGTAGGCAAAGGAGACTAGCAACTGACCGCTATGCCACTTTAGTTCTCAAGTATTCAACCAGGAATTGGCTTTCTGATCATAAATCTTCTGATCTAACCTAAGCAGATGAGATTAGTTTTTTAAGATGTGTGTAAACTTGTTATTTTCATGACTGAATCAATGCAAATATTTATGTGCAAAACGTGTTTTGGTTCAGGAGTGAGATGGTAGGCAGAGAAGTTAATGGCTCCAAAATCAACACTGTTGGGCACTGCTGGTTGCTTCAAAAACACAGCACTTATCTGAACTGTCAGTGCCTTGAATTCCTTGCCGGGGAAAACAGGATTGGTAATTCCTTTTGATCACCCCACTGAACAGGGGTAAGGAATGCCTAATAGCTTTGAAGTGCTAAGTAAGTGCTAATAGGCTGAGGAACAGGAGAGAAGCTTAAGTTTCCAAAGACACTGGCAAACTTGAACTAAGAAAACACAGGTAATGTTCCAAATGCTTTAGATGGTCTGTAGTTGGAACTGGTAGCTTCATGTGAAGAGTTTCCTCCTCCCCTCTCCTTCTTCAAGTCTGTTTCTTATCTGACTCATGTGCATTTTGAGCCCAACGGCCAGATGGATTTCCAACCTTGGTTCAAAATAATCCCTAGTTTTTTGCTGTTACTCCTACATGGTCAATAACAACAATAATGAAAAACACAGCAGGACCCTCTTTGGCAGCCATTCCTCACAATTTTAGGATGAGCGCTCAGCTGCTGATGATATAAGGCTGTTCAATTTTGGGAAAACGCAACACAGGTAAGATATGACCTTAAAAGGGAAAAATTGAGGCTTTTGAATGTTTCTTAAATTAATAACTCCAGGCTTGGCCTCTTCAGACTCACAAGTGCCAAATCCTTATCAGCTTTGCTTTAGAAACCAGCAAAACCAGATATGTTTTCAAATGCGTGTAACAGGAATTACAACCATACTAAGAACACTTAGCTCTAGAAGCCCTGTGCCTCTGGCAGGATGTCTCTCCCCGAGATGTTCCAGCAATTACTGAATCTTAATACCATATTCGCTTATGCAAAGTGTTCCTCTTCCTCAGCTACACATATTTCTTAATTCTCATATTCCCAGAAGCAAGGTAAATCAGCTGCCCATCCTTTTATTCCCTTGGAGATTGCACATTTTCCTGACAGCTTCCTGTAGTTTGGAAGATGGAAGAGTCTCAGCAGAATAACACACCAGGTTGGTACCTCCAACCCCTCTTTGCTTCCCAAATTTTGGTCGGTTTCCTCTGGAGAGCTTGTTTCCTGGGTTTTGTCCCGAGATTCTGCTTTAGTAGGACTGGTCTTGGGCATGAGACTCTGATTTTCCAACAAGTTCCTCACTGATGCTGACACTAACTGTCCTTGAACCATGGCCATGGAGGACACCAGATTGACTTTCCGTCTTGGACTTGAAGTGATAGGAAACTAATGAATCCTCATCCTGAGGGTTCCAAGTAGTGTATACTGGCAACTTGACCAGCACTGCCACACTGTTTTTTCTTTCTGTAACATACTGTACTGCAGGAGGCAGGAGCCAGCACTGTTAACAAGTATCTGTTCTCACCTGGTCAGATTAGTCCCAAAGCTTATGGTGAATCATGGGGCTCTCTGAGCTCACACTGGGAATCATGGTTGCATTTTTACTTCATTGGTTACGACTCTACGAAGTAGCCAAGTGCAGGAATAGGATGGCAGACTCCTGGTGAGTGCTTTAAAAAATAAAATTATGTATTTTATATATACATATATATCCACACACACATAAAAATATAATATATACATATGTAATCATACGTATAAACATATACATGTGCAATCATATGTATATATTTCATTATATATACATACAATGATATTTAAAATGTATATACATACATAATCATATATAAAAATATGTATACAGTCATATATGTACAAATATGCAGTCAGCCCTCTGTATGTGTGGGTTCCACATTCACGGATTCAGCCAAAGGTGGATCGAAAATATTCAGAAAAACAAATTCCCTAACCCTAAACAATACAGTATAACAACTATTTACGTGGTATTTACATTGTATTAGGTATTATAAGTAATCTAGAGATGATTTAAAGTATACGGGAGAATGCGCACAGGTTGTACGCGAATACACCACACACACAATATACAATTATATGTGTGTGTATACACATACACACCCACACACAGTCAACCCATTAGTCCATTTTTATACATGTAAATCTTTAAGTGGATGGAACTTTTCTCTTTCTTCTTGTGTTTCTCAGAATGCTTGTCAGTTGCATCTTAATTTCCTCTTCAAAGTTGCCTTGATATTCACCCTTTAAAAATATTTCTCAAGTATAAAAATGCTGAGGAGTGAGGGCTAGTGGTGTCATATAAGTTATTTTGCTGGCTGGACACTCTCTGTTGGGACGCCTAATACTATCAGCGATGGGTGCCGTAATCCCTATCCAATGTGAGAGGAAGCCAAAAAAGGAATCTGTTTTCTGAATTCTGAATGTTGCCTTTCTGCTCAGACCTACTGAAAACATTATCTCCATCAAGGTAAGAATTCCGATAGGGCATGGGTGCCCTTCTGTCTAGAATCTCATCAAAGGCAGAGCTAGGAGCTCCTTACTTATCTGTTGTTCAGAATATGTACAAAGGGACGTTTTTCCTAAGGATCCTATGGCAGAGAGATGACTGTTTTCAACAATGCCGTTCCCAACAATTTTCTGAGTGCACAAAGGGTCATTTTTATTGGTTCTCAGTGCCTTAAGGCCAAAGTACAATTTAGTGAAAGCAGTTCTACAGAGGAAAGAATTAAATAGAGAATTTCTAAGAGTATTACTGTTCTTCTGTCTCCCTCCCTCTTCTTTATGAAAGGTCCATTTCAGCAACAAAAGTGAAACCATGGGTGGGATAGCTCTCCGTTTTTTCTTGGCATTTATAAAGATGGGTTGCTTTGTATGAAGGTCAGGTGGTCTTCTATTCAGGTATGTATTCTTGTCTGGCTTCTCAGCTTTCATAAGAGGTTGTCAATCCAAGGCTTAGCTTCCAAGGGCTTGTTAGGGCCTAAGACCCCAAACTCATTGCTTCTCATGCCCAGTTCAGGGAATCTTATTTGAGCAGAACCTTATGAAGAATATGTTTTTGTCTTTTCCTTTAGACTTGAAAATCCATCTTTGATTCAGTAACACCAAGGGCGAGCTGTTATTAGATCAAGACGCTGGTAAAACTATTTTAAACCAATAACATTTTTCATTTGTTAGATATCATTTGTTTATCTAATTTGAGATATATCAATAAGAGCAGAAGGAGTCTATTTATCCCACCAGTTGCCTCAGTATCAACAAGAATAAAGTTCTGAATGGCATCCTGGGAACTCTGCACTCTAGCATATGCTCAAGATTCTCTCCTTTTGAGTGAATATTTGACTTAATGAAACTTAATTTGTGACTTGCATTTCTAATTCCATGAAGTGAACTTTGATTAAGGCAAATAAACTTACGGTAATGAATTAGGAATTTAACCAATAGCATTTCTTGGGTTTATTTGTTTGTTTGTTTGCTTTGCTGAGGAAGATTGTCCCTGAGCTAACATCTGTACCAATCTTCCTCTATTTTGTATGTGGGACATTGCCACAGCATGGCTTGATGAGCAGTGTGTAGGTCCACGCCCAGGATGCGAACCCCAGGCCACCCAAACGGAGCATGCGAACTTAGCCACTATGCGACCAGGCCAGCCCACCAATAGCATTTTTATTAAGTAACTCTTATGAAACCCAAGGCTCTCTAAGGCCCTGTGTGGTTATAGAATCATGTTTATTGAAACTGTAATGTGGTATAATACCTATAATTTATAGAAATGCAAATATTTAAATCTTTTGAAAAATTACTAACAGGGAAGTTTATTCTTTGTGCATAGTAAACTCTCCCAAGCTTCCTTTCTGTCTCAACTTCCCACACTCTTGAAGGAAACAGCAATGGAAACAGCAGACTCTCTCCACTCTCATCCTCTCTCTACTTCCCCAAACTTTGCCCTCCCAGCTATGAGGCTCTTCTGCCCTCTCTTTCCCATATAGTCCCTTCTCTATCACACTGCTCCCCATTCTTCTTCTTAATAAGGGTCCCTTGGCTACAGAAAGTTTCAACACCTGACTTTCCTTTTGGGCACAGCCCCATGGAATTTGTAGTTCTTCCCTAGGTCCAACTACTCTTCAGAGAATAAAGCGACTCTGGAATTCTGGAAAATTTTCCCTGTGGAATACTTTGCATGTCCAACCTGCATATTGGCTTCAAGGGCATGCGACTGTGCAATTGCACAGGGCTGTGCACTCAAAAATGCCTGGTGCTTGATTTAAGGCTCTGCTGTTGCCATCTTGAAATTCTTAATAATTGTAAACAAAGGGCCCTGTGTTTTCGTTTTTCACTGTGCCTGGCAAATTATGTAGCTGGCCCTGCTGGCATGGGATCCCTGGAGCCTGATGTGTTTGAGATATGAGTTAGCAACCAGGTGTTTATGAGAGACGAAAGGGAGCTGGGCTGAAAACTTCATGAACTCTGGGTTCAAGTGAAGGGAGGGAGGGAGGAATTTTTCCATGTCTCTTCATAGCTCCTTCCCCACAAGTCAACTATGCTTGCTTTATGGTGCTAAAGTGTTGGAAGATGGAAGTTTCTTTCTCTTCACTCTGCATCTGAGGCTGAGCATTTAGACTTTTACCAAGAGTTATTAGGGTGTGATAAGAACTTGGGGGACTTTGAATGAAATAACTTTGAGTAGACAATGACAACAAATGGCAGTTTAAGGCATATAATGACTCCAGTTTGAAGTCATCTTCAACTTCCATTTCAAATGTTAATTAAGAGATGCAGATTAAAACAAAAGTGAATCTCCTGGGAAGATGAATCCCACATAGTTTCATAGATGCCCCATCCTCAGGAAGCTAAAGCTGAACTCCTCACTCCAGTGTGGGCTGTTTGTAGTGACTTCCTTCCAAAGAGGATAGTATGGCAGGGGCGGGAAATAAAAGTTAACTTGACAGCGAAGAAAACTGACAAACTCTACCTCAGCCAGATGATCAACCTCGACAGTGATAAGTCGTGTTGAGAGTACATGCCCTTGGTATGCTTCAATGAGAATGGCACCTTACCTCTATGATCCTCTTCCCAAACACCCACAACCCCGGTCTACCCCGGAGAAAAACATCAGACAAACCCCCCTTGAGGAACATTCTACAAAACAGCTGACCAGTACTCCAAACTGTCAAAACAGTGAAACTGTCATCAAAAACAAGGACTGAGAGACACTGTCACAGTCAAGAGGAACCTAAGGAGACATGACAAGCAAATGTAATGTGATATCCTGGATGAGATCCTGGAACAGAAAAAGGACATGAGGTGAAAACTAAGGAAATCTGAAAATGTTAATAACGTGTCAATATTGGTTCATCAATTGTGACAAATGTAGGGAAAACTGCATATGTGATGTAGAAGAACTCTCTGTACCATCTCCACAATTTTTTTGTAGGTCTAAAACTATTCTAAAACAAAATTTATTTTAAAAAAGTAAAAGTAAGTTTTACCATATACTTAGTCATATTAAATTACTAGAAAGCTCTCTTGATTGAGTTGTTTTTGCTGAGAAACAGAAAGACATACTTGGTGAACGTTTCATAACCAATTTAATGATGATTGCCTTCTATAAAATGGAAAAAAACCATGCTGTCCCATAATGAACCTGCTGCCTCCAGCGTGCACTCAGCTAGGATTGGAGGCAGGGAGCCAGAGGCAGTTGGGAGGAGCAGATGGTGTCTGATGACCAGACTGTGACTTCAAGTCCCTGGAGCACCCAGCTCCCTCCTACATTGCCTACTCTTCCTGAAGCAAGGGCCGAAAGAACCAGTGGAGTTTAATTCAGCGTGTTCCGAATGAGTTAACGGGTGACAGATATCAGTGAGTATATTTCATCACATTAATTTTAATGTATTCTCCATGTCTGATGTGAAAGACTCAAAATGACCTCCCAATGTTCCTAATTAGTGCTCTCAGTGCAACTTCTTTATGATTTCTTAAACCTGGCTTATGTTTCCAATTTGAGCAAATATTGCAATTTAGACTTTTTGCATATACAATTGCAGAATTGAATGAGGAGATATCTATGTAGAATCATCACAAGAAAAACAATCCATTGAGGTAATATGTGTTATGAAAGGTTTCACGTGACTTTCTTGAAGGCGTGGGAACCACAAATCTTCTGTCGCAGATGCATAGGTACCTGTCTTACTGGCCGAAAAGTGATTGAAAGATCTATGCAAAATACAAGATAAGAAAGCTGCTCATGTTTTTAACATTAAAATGTAAACTTAACTGTAGATTTAAATCAATAATCTCAATTCTGAAAACAATTCAAAGATTGCATTTTTACATTTTTAATCTACTTACACATTATTTCAAGAATTTGCCAATGACATCTTAACTTCCACCTTGTCATGTCTCATGTCTTGGATTTTTTTCCTGAACTGTTGGACACTGGTTTTCACCATATTTCTTGTGTCTAAAAGAATGAGCATTCTAAAAACTTGAATTTGGTGATCATTATCAGCAAAAATGCATGATCTGGTGGTAATTCAACTCTTAGAAAACTGGCCTAATATTTTCCATTTTTTCCTGTTCTTAATAACAATAAAGCATAAACATGAAGAAAATTCTCAAAGGATATATACCTCAACAGCTTGATGGTGATTACATGTGGGTTATGTGGTTAAAGATTATCTTAGCTTTATTTTTTATATCTCTTTTCTTAATGTTATCTTAATACGTTTTTACCCTGAACATATATTACTTTAATAATTTGGAAAACGGCACTAGTGCCATAAATCATAAACCGTTATCACAACTAAAATCTGTTCTGTTAAATATTTACTAGTCAGTATATTTACAATGAGGTATACTGTGAAATTGTTAGTTTAATCATAATAAGGTAAGTTATATTTCTGATATAATGATAATTATTACTATGATATGGTACAGCCTTATTAATTCTGAATCTGATAATTTCCAAGTTAGCAAGAAGATTTTCTTTGCCTTGTTTTTAATAAAAGAGGGATTTTCTAAGCAATCTCACAGAATTCTCTAGCTTATCAGGGGATGTTAATATAGTCGAGAGAATAGCGGGCTGATGGAAATCCTTAATAATCGTCATTTGCATACAATTATTTTACATACATTTATTTTGTGTACTGAAGAGTAAGCCAAAACATTCTCCTGAGTCTCATTTTTCTCATAAAATGCTTATGAGTAAGGAAATGTGACAGATTATTTGTTGTTTTTGCATATATTATAAGCGAAGAATAAAAGGTCAGACTGCTCTTACAGATCGGCCAGGGGATAGTTTTCAGGTTTCCAGAAAATTCCTCTTGCCTCCAGTGTTATCCTCCACTTCTGCCTGACACCTAGGATTTCTTTTCTACGTGATAATCGCCTTTCATCTAGAACTAGAACTATAGTTTCAAATATAAAAATCTCAGGGACAGGATCACATTGAATTAATCATATTAAAGTAGAACTTACTGATGGAAGGTGGAAGATTTTCTGAGAATCGTATTTGCTTGTTGGTGTCTTGGTTATTTGGGTCAGAAGTGTATTGAGGATGGGGGAGCTGAAATAGATGAGTAGGAGACATAGCAGGAAAAACACAATTAAGAAGAAATATAAAAGAAAATTGACAATTAGCATATAGAACAAACATAGGCTTCTGCACATATTTACTACACACATAGGCCTAATTGATCAGCTTGCTCAAGAAGTCAAAGCAATTTCTAAATAAAGGTGGTGAGTAAACGCATGTTTATTCATTCTTCCTTAAGCTCACCCCAAACAACATATAATGGAAAATACAGTCCTGTGCTGCATAATGATGTTTTGGTCTATGATGGACTGCATATACAACGGAGGTCCCATAAAATTATTACCATAGAGCCCAGGTGTATAGTAAGCTGTACCATCTAGGTTTGTGTAAGTAGTGTATGATGTTCGCACAACAATGAAATTGCCTAATGATGCATTTGTCAGAACATGTTCCCGTCGTTAAGTGACGCGTGACTGTAGTAGAAAAATACCATCCTCAATGAAATACGGAAACGGCCATACCTCAAAGTCATACTCTCTTTGAAGGCTATCTTCCAAATAATGTGAAATCTACACTAAAACAGGTGAAGAAACTCAGGGCCACGCATACATGCTCAGATGTAGAACGGGAGACAGGATTAAGTCCAGCAGTCATGATTGCCCCATCACAGGGCCTTTGATTAGACGTTGGAGCTCTAGAGTCACAGTCCCTCTTTGGAAGAACTGGGAAGTAGCCTTCTAGAAACCATAAAATTGCAGGGGAGGTGCAGCTGAAGAAGAATCCACTCCAATAACACCATTTCTACTTGACTATGACCCAACCATCCAGTGTAGGAAGAATGACAGGTGAGGCAGGAATAGCAGGGAACGGTTAGAGCCTGTAATCTCAAAGATGTTACTGGCTCTTGGATGCTCAAAATTGAGGGAAGGTACTCCTAGAGGGAAGGAAGAAAAGTGAAGGAAGACGCACTAAGAGTGTCTGATTTGATGAGATGTTAGGGACAACTAAGCCCAGTAAGAGCTGGAGACTCTTTCAGTTTAACTCCTCCCTCCACAGCATAGTAAGAATCAGCACAGGACCTATGCACAGACAGTGGGAGGAAAAATAGAGAGGAAAAAAACATAATCAAAAGTCAGATGGAATACGAATAAAAACGAGCCTTGATCATTTAAAAACCTGAAGGAAAATTAAGAAAAATGGCATTTCATGGTCTCAAAGTCATCACAGGCAACATAATTTATTACTCTATTTTTTTTAAGGAAAGCTCAAAGAAGAGACTCAAGGATTCAAAGGAGAGATTATAAGACAACACCAGGATACAAAAAGCAAGCTGGCTGTGTATAGAAAAGCCAAAGAAGCATAAAGCAAAAAATATTCAAGAGATGAAAAAAGGACACTAAAAGCAACGGAAAATAGAACAAGTATAACTACAACCTTTCCTCTTGGCCTCTCAATGCAAACTAAGAATGAATAAAGAACAAAGACACAAAAATCGTTATGGACAATATATGGATATATGACACAGGGATCCAACACATAAACTGAACAGTGGACCTGAAAAAATATGCTGAAAGATGTAATAGGAGAAAATTTTTCTGAAATAAATTTGTTAAAATGCAGATTGAAAGTGCACAGTGTCTGAGAGAAAAATAATTGGGATAGAATGATTAACAGTGAGACATAGCCTGAAATTCAAAAATGAAGGAAAGAATTGTTTAGGCACACAGGCTGAAAAGTAAGTCAGCTACCAATAAAAGGGAAGGTATCAGATTGATTTCAGAATTCTCCCCAACTACACTCACTGCCAGAAAACCATAAGTTAATATTTAAAAAGCAAACTCTGACAGTAAGGGGTGGGGGAGGGGAGGGAGGAAAGTGTAACCAAGAACTTTCTACGAGCCAAGCTTTCACGCAAGTAAAAAGGCAAGGACAGATTCTCAAGCATGAAAGAATTCAGGATTCAGGGAATATAACACCAAAGAGTTCTTGCAAAACAGTATTACTCGTAGATGAATTCCAGTCAAAAGAGTCACATCAAAGTAAGTCACACAGGAATGGAACAGATACACAGTGGGGATGAGCATTCACCAATTTAAATATAGCATTAGGCTTAAAACACTTTGAGAATTACAATTATAAAACAGAATTTACATGCTACAAGTAATAATAATATATAATAAACATAAAAATCAGGACAGAAAGTAAGAGAAGCACAGTATATTTATTCCCATATCATTCATAACAAGGAGTCCATTGATACGTACTAAAATAATAAACATATGCCAACCTCTTAATGTTGTCATGAATTCTTTTTTACTTAAATGTTTGGGACACTTTCAGGAATAATTCTTATCTCTTATGATGAAGAAAGATGTATCTGCATTTTAACAATTTCTTCTTTTTACTGTAATTTGTTTTGCTTCTGTTAAATTCAAGTACAGTTAAATGTAATAATATGTAAAGTAAAAATAGTAGGGATAATTTGATCTGAATTTCTGACCAGTCTTTCTACCCTTTAACAGGAGGCTGTGAAATGTAGTGGTTTAATGGCATAGACTCTGGAGACAGGTTTCAAATCACGAATCCATCACCTACTGTGTATATCTCCTTACACAGGTGCTTCACTTTGCTGTGTTTCAGTTTCCTTGTTAGAAAACTGAGGATAAAGATAATATTTACTTCATAGAATTTTTCAAAACATGAAAATGTCCAAGTGCCATCATAGCATCTGGCATATTGTACATGCGAAATACGTCACTTTGATGTGCTGTTTTACCTTTGTTTCTTTTAGTTTAGCTAATATGTATTTGGAAAATAGCATCATTATTCATAAAAAATAAATATTTTGAATCCAATGAGAGGCAAAACTAGGACACAACCAAATTTCCTGGCACACAGTCTCCTGTTCTATTTATTGAACTATGTCATCACGAACCTTCAAGAAAACCTTCTCCAAGATTTATTGGCATATAACAGTTCAACATGGCTAGGAGTTAAAAATCCATCAGTTCCATAAATATTTCTTTTGATCAATTACATTTTCTCCATCCATCTGTATGGTTGGGAATTTGACATAAAATCGGTGCTGAGTTTAGAGTAGTTTACCCTGTATTTGGTATTTTATTTTATATTCTTTTCCTTAGGTCACCCACTGAATTGGTGCCCAGAGTACTTCGAATATGAGAAGTAAACTTTTAGACAATGAAGTTAATAGTAACATTAACCATCTTTAACATGGTGGGTGTTTGAAAAGAAAATAATTCAAAAATAACAACTTAAAAGGCGTTTATAGTTCACGTATTGCTTTTTATCAAATGACACTTTGAGATCAATTCTCATGTTGAGAAACTTACATCTGTTTCTCTAAACAGCACGATATCAAATTACCAGAACTTTATGACTGCTGGAGTTTCAAGAGCCGTTCTTGAAATTAATTTGGTGCTATCATTCTGTTGCTAATTAAACATGAGACAACCCAAAAGTGTTTGGCATCTGCAGATACTAACCCGTCTCATGGGAAATTCTAGAACTAAGAATTGGTTCAACTTGGAACAGTATATTCATATGGGCTAATGGTATAAATAAATGATGTTATGGGGATGTAAGCTTGCTAGCCTGACAATGAAACTATGAAGTTCTGAAATAAATTGAAATTTGAATGAACATGCCAAACCATAGAACTTAAATTTCCATCCTCTTCAACTCTGTATGTTCTCAAGTAAAAGGTCTTGGCTTCACTGATATACTCCATTGTACTGATGGACAAAATTTGAAGAGGCACAGTTAACAGAAGGAGAGATTGTGACAAAAAGAAAGAACATGAAAAAAATAAATAACAGAAGCAGTTCAGCGTATTAAAACTGCTTCTAACTTATCTTTTCCACTTTCTCCACCTTGATAGAAATTTAGATGGGAAAATCATAACTTAAAGTACATAAGGACCTCTCTGCTTTAGAGGAAAATAGAAAATAATGGAGAATACTGGCCTTGAGAGAAACAGGGGAAGGTCCGTGTAAGAAAATTCCCTAGGCGTTTGAGCCTTTCACAGAAGTGTTTAGATTCTGAGCTGGCTTTATTATTTATTATTTTTTTTTACCTCCATCCGATGGGCATCAAGACTAGTATATTTTGATATTGTTTCTAACTAGTCTGTAAGTATTCAGAAAATAGCCAATGTTCATTTAACTTGGCGTAGTTTATCAACTGTAGAGCCATCCTCTGCCTAGATCTGGAGGTTGTAACTTCTCTCTGACTGTCTGGAATGTCTATATTTAGTTTTCCATCAGATAGTGTCCTCTAATATCTTTCATGCCCATATGGTATATTAACAAAAAAATAAGCCAGCCACCATCTCCACGGAAACAAGCACAGATGTTTTAAAATCTGCCTACAAAAAATATCCACCAATGAACAACCCTGTATTTCCTTAATTAATTCAAATATTTTGCTGTCAGCTCTTTCTCTTTGAAGCCACAGATTGTTTTTCATTCTGAGATTCACTTTCTTCCTAATAATAGAAACAGATATGTCTCTTTGGCCCCACTGTCTCAAGATTCAGAAATAAGATTCCTCTTGAAAATCCCAGGCTGTGGAGTAATTCATCTGTAATCACCATTTGGTGCCTTTTATCCTCTCAATAAAGGTCACGTCACAGTCACATGAATGTCATCACTCTTCTTTTGCTGTATCAAGCATTTTCTTCTGGAAGCATTTCTCCTGGATGGGCCAAAATATATATTTCCATTTAATAAGTTCAGAATTTTACACAGCTCTGTTCTATCAATTTTGCAAACATCGCCTAGTGTTTTTCTTACATTAATTTAATATACATGTTTTCCTCCAAATATTACTGTGAACCAGAAGAACACAGACCTTGTTTTTTCTCTTCATTTGATTGTTCATGTGGATATGGTGTCTGAAATCTGACACACGAAATACATTTTACCTGCCTGGATTCTAGTTTGGGAATGGATTGCATTTTTTTCTCCCAACTCTTAGTCTGTGCTAAAGGAATATCAATCAAGCCATAAGATAAGTAGACTGAAGCTTAACACTGAAAGAAACCTCCATATGGATTTATTTGATGGCATAAGACAATTATTTTTGAAAGAGTATAGCTTTATTAATAACCTATTAGAAATATTAATATACATTATCGATTATTTTTTTTTAATTTACTGATAAAATTCACATGAACTTGAATGAACTTAGTCCCCTAGAAGTCACATGGATGAGGAGGGAAGAGGCTCAAAGACCATGCAGATTAATGCAACAGGTGAGGATGAAGCTTTAATAATGTTATTCTGTTTGCCATGTGGTAGGTCTCTGGAGAACTCAGCAGTGGGGAGACAAGCTGCTCACACGCAGATGCTGAGAACACGCCACCACCTCCTCTCGGCCCCCAGATGAGCTAAGGCAAAAAATTAGAGAAGATAAAATCCTTAGCATATCTCCCCTGTGTGGCTCATTTCCGTGCTATG